CTCAAGAGGGATACAGGGGGAGGGTTGGATTCCGGTAACTGTTCGCTGAGGCATTAATCAGACAAACTGTCGTTCAACATACATCTCTGCAGGAAAAGTTATTTTTATTTTTGATTATTTAGTTGTTACGGACTTGGCCGACAACTAACAGACGGCTGCAAATAGATAGTAATCCTTGTTGCATGCAATCTGTTTCAGAGTAATCTAAAAATAGATTTAGTATTCCCTGTAGGACCTGACATTGATTGCTGGTTACCACTTGACTACTTCTTCTTAGGCTTACCGAATTTAGAGTCAAACATTAATCGGTTGTGTGTCCTGATGTCGGTTGTGTGTCCTGCTGAGGTAGGATCCAATGTGGGTTCTAGTTTAGACTACACACACTGTAGCTCATGAGTGAAGTTGTCAATAGTGAGGAGGAGGAAGAACTAGTCGAAGACCTTAGGACTCGTAGAACCGCTCTCAGTCGTCCACTCACCTTCCAGGAGCTAGGTCCGGGAGATGAAAGGAGATTGAGAAGGGAAGCCAGGGCAAGGGAGATATTGCGGAGAGCAAGAGCAACTACAACTAGTGCTAGGGCTAGGACCGAGGTCAGCACAGGCACAACTATGGCTACTTCTTCCGCAGTGTCACAGGTCGTGTCCCAGGCCTCTTCGTCAGAAACGAGTCAGGGTACCCAAGGTATGGTTAGTCAATCTGTTGGCTTGCAAGTCAGCCAACAACCTCAACTCTTAGCAGAGGATTATGAGATCCTTCAGGCAGAAGAACTTCATACTGAGTTGCAGAAGCAACTGAGAGAGGCAGCAGAGAGAAGGCAAAGGGCTATACTTAGAAAAGCTAGACTAGGGAGTAGGAGACAGGAACTAAGCAAATTAGAAGCATTAGATGAGTCAACACTTGATCCTGCTATGCAAGCGCTGCATAACTCACTACTCTCCGTAGCGGAAACGCAGGTTGTTCAGCAGGAAGTGTTGGCTGAACTAGTGTCAGGCCAGAGACAAATTCTAGGTGCACTGAAGGCTCTCGTCCTATGATGAGACAACCTCAATATGTTGTTGCTCCCCCTTCGGTCGCGGGTCCCTCAGTGACGTCGTTGCCTGTAGGGCCCTCCTTCTTACCTACGTATGACATTCCTCTTTCAAGTAGTAAACCAGTAGTTAGTGGTCCGGTTCTTATCTCTTCTTTTGTACCATCAAGGACGGTGGCAGCTACAGTGCCATTGTCTGGACAGGCTCAGCTTAGCACGCAACAATCTGTGTCAGTGGCTATGCAGCCACTGCAGCAATCGCCAGGGCAGATCCAACCGATGAAGTGGATGCCTAAGATACCCTTGCTGAGTCCCAAGCCCTTCTCTGGTGACAGGAAGAAGGATGAGGACCTGGACACCTGGGTGAGGACTGTGCCTACCTATGTAAGGCACAAGCTCACTAGTCCGGAGCAGGAAGTCATAGTTGCTGCTTCCTTTTTAAAGGGATCGGCAACACGTTGGTTGAATGGGATAGTACAACAACAAGGCTACGGTCAGAATTTTGATGCCTGGGCCCAGACCCAGACAATGGAAGACTTCGTACGGTCCGTGTATAATAGGTGGCATGACCCTCAAGGAGCTCAAAAGGCCACCGACGCGATCAACAATCTTTGTGCCAAAAGGTACAAGAATGTTCGTGAGATCACGGATACCGTAGAACGTCTGCTCGTGGTACCTGGTGTGCACTACGACCAGCAGGTACTCCTTACGGATTACTTGAGATGTCTGCCTTCAGAGGTTAGGACTAAGCTGGTGGATGAGGCCTACGTCGACCAACACAACTTCGCTTCTTTCAGCAAGAAGACCTTAGATATAGAGGCAAAGCTAGGGTCCGCGCATCAGAGTTAGGGAGATGGTAGGAGGAAGAAACTTCCCCAAGACTGGAAGAAGAAGGGTCCATTAATGTTCGTTGATCATGATGGACAAACGACAGAAATTGACGACTTTTCATACCTTGGGGATGAGACAGAGCATGAGGGGGCCAATGAGACTTCGGATGGGGGAGTCGTGGCCCCTATCAAAGAAAAGGCTAGGGGGACCGGGAAGAAGAAGGTTGGCCGGTCTACGGGTCAGGGCGACCAAGGAACACCCGCATGGGTAAAACTTGGTTTAGATTACGAGGTGTGGAGGGACTGAGTTGCCAGGCACTTGCATGAACTGTGGCAACTATGGCCACACGTCGAGGACTTGCTGAGGCAAGAAGGTCACGAGGAGGGTAACCGCTCCAACGGTAGTGGGCTTATCCTTGAGCCCTGGCAGTGCTTCTGCGAGCACTTCACAGGGAAACACCTCGGGCCAGTAGGAGTGTTAGCCGCTCTTACTCGTGCTGAAGTGGTAACGTTGCCTTCCCCAATTCAGGCGTTGGCCAAGGCTAGTGACCCAGACATCGCCCCGCAGACACTTTCAGACCCACTGACGCTCTGTTCGAGAGATGTGTCTGAGTCCTTAGAAGAGTTACAGTCTGAGCGGTCAAGGAAGGACCCCAGAGAGTCTTGGGTGATGATTAGTAGAGGTCCTAAGGGTGAGCATTTCGTGGTAGAGGTCAATGTAGGTGGCCGTAAAGTGGGTGCCTTTGCAGACATAGGCTCTACACAAAATTTCATCAGTCGCGCTGTGTGGAAAGACTGCGCTTAGGGGACCAAGTGCAGCGGCTTAGCAGAACTGTAGCTTCTACGCTAGCCAACAAACACCGAATGGTAGTTAAAGACTATGTCAAGGACGTAGTCTATTCCTTCTCTTATGGAGGAGGGGAAGTGAGACACAAAATATCATTCCTCGTTAGCGACGAACTGCCCTTTGATATGTTACTAGGCATGTACTACCTCGAGGTCGCTCAACCTCAGTTTGATTGGGGTAGGAAGGTGTTGATACACAAGTTGCCAAATGGTAGAACCGTTAGACTGCAAAAGTTGAAGGCAAGCAGTCTAGTGGAAAACTACGGCTGCATGTGTGCCTCCTCTTTCTATAACTACTATAAGCAGAATCGCGTGGAGGGCATGTATCTAGTCTTTGTCTCTGAGAAAGGGGAGGCCGTAAAAACACCCCTAGAGATAGAATCAGTCATCGCTTAGTATCCTGACCTTTTTGAGGAGCCCACAGGAGTGGTCGAAAGGGAGGTGGTCCACGCGATAGAAGTTTCCCGGGTAGTAAGGTACCTAGACGACGCGTCTATAGGATGTCTCCCACGGAGTTAGATGAGCTCCGCTGCCAGCTTAAAGAGCTCACAGAGAAGGGACGAATTCGGCCTAGTACCTCCCCTTACGGCGCACCAGTCTTATTTGTTCCTAAGAAGGGAGGTACATTAAGGTTGTGTATTGACTATAGGGGCCTCAATGCCTTCAACGTAAGGAACGCAGAGCCCCTACCCCACATCGACGACCTATTGGATAGAGTGCAAGGATGCCGACACTTTACTGAGATAGATCTAAAGTTCGGATACCATCAAATTGCCATTAGACCTGAGGACCAACACAAAACCGCCTTTCAGACCAGGTACGGTCTGTATGAGTTTGTGGTGATGCCCTTTAGCCTATGCAATGCCCCTGGGACATTCAAGCACGCCATGAATAGGATATTTCATGAATACTTAGGCAAGTTTATCGCTGTGTACCTCAACAATATCCTTATATTTAGTAAGATTGTAGAGGAGCACGCTGAGCACTTGAAAATAGTGTTGGGACTCCTAAGACCTATGTTGCATGCTGGCCGCGGCCGATTTCGGCTTGGGCCGGGCCCCCCCCGACCGAGGCCAGCCCGGCCGAGTTTTTTCGGCCTCGGTGTCGGCCGATCTGGGGGGTGGTTTTCGAAGCGGGGAGCGGGTTTGGGGTGGGGGGGTGGGGGGGGGGGGCCTCAAAGTCTCAAAGTGACAG